TGCCTATATTATGGGCTGCTGGTTCATACAGGCCTCTCTGGTGCTTCAGCACCCTGCAGGTTCCATGGGTGCTTCAGCACCCTGCAGGTTCCATGGGTAACTAGAGCACACAGTCCCTGCTGGGTTGCACAGGGCTCTCTGGTGCTTCAGCACGCTGCAGGTTCCATGGGTAACTGGATCGCACAGTCTCTGCTGGGTCGCACAGGCCTCTGTCGTGCCCCTGCACCCTGCAGGTCCCATGGGCAGGCAGCTGGATTGCACCAGTCCCTCTCAGGCTCTGACTTCCCACCACTCTTGTGGGTTGCTGGGTCACACAGGCTTCTCTGACACCCCAGGTCCTGCTGCTGGTGGCTGGGGAGTGCTCTTGCCCCAATGGGGCTCAACTGCTGCTCAGCTTTTGGGGATGTGTCTCAGCTGCTGGTCTGTGCTTCTGTTGCCTGGGGATGGATGTCTGCTCCCCCCCTCTGTTGCTGGGTGTGTATCTGGACTCTGATCAGGCTGCTACTATGGGGGATGGTGCTGGGCTCCTGGATTCCGCGACAGGCACCTTGGGAGCTCCACTACTGTGCACGGGTCTGTGTTGACACAGAGTGTCTACTGGTCCGATGGTGCCAGGTGCACTGGTGGGCTCAGGTGATTGGGCCCTAGCTGCTCCCACTGCCTCCTCCCAGGGAAGACCTGGGATCTTCCAAAATGGTGGGAACTCCCCACGGTGCAGGGAGAAGCGCCCTGAAGGGTTACTTACCGTTGTAGCCGGCTGCTCCGGTCCACAGCACAGGAACCTTCTGCTCCTGGTCTCTGCACTGCTCGGGTTTGGTCGTCTACCTTCATGTCCACTCACACTCTCTCACACACTCGCTCACTCTCTCACACACTCACCCTCCCTCCGGTCCTGCCTGCCACCATCTCCCTATGTTAGATTTATTATACTGTATTCTGAAAAAGGTTTGCAATTTTTTTATGTGTTCATCATTTTACTCATAGTTTTGTAACTTTTTGTCTTTTGGTTTCAGGTAGAATAACCCCCTTTAGTATTTCCCCTAATGGAGGTTTTATGGTGGTTAATTCCCTCAGATTTTGTATATTTGAAGAAGTCTTTATTTCTCTTTCATTTTTAAAAGATAAGTTTGCTGGATATATTATTCTTGGCTGGCAAAATCTCTCTTTTCATAGTTTGAATATTTCATTTTACTCCCTCCTAGGTTGTAGGGTTTCTGCTGAAAAAATCTGATGATAATCTAATGGGGTTTTCTTTTTATATGTTACTGTCTCCCTCCACCTCCCCCCCCCTCCCCCCGGCTGCCTTGAGAGTTCTTTCTTTGTCATTAATTTTTGACAGTTTAATATAATTTCTATCTTTGATATCACTAATTATTTTCTCCACCTGGTCAGCTCTATCTCCTAAGCTCTCTAGTTCATTCTTCATTTCTTTTATTGAATTCTTCAGCTCCAGAATTTTTATTCAGTTCTTATTTATTTGAAAAATCTTTTTTAAAATCCTCACCAGAGAATATATTTTTTTCAATTTATCTTCAGACAAAGTGGTAAGGGGGAGAGAAAGAAAGACATCAATGTGAGAGTCAACCTGTTGCCTCCCGCATGACCCCGACCAGTGCTGGGGACCAAATTGCAATTGAGGTACGTGCCCTGGGCTGGAATTGAACTTGTGACTCTCTGGTTTGCAGGTCGATGCTCTAACCACTGAGTCAAACCAGCTATTTGGTTCTTTCTTTCTTTCTTTTTTTTTTTTTTTTAGCAGATCCTTTTTTTAAAAAAATTTTTTTTCCCTTTATTGATTTTAGAGAGAGAGGAAGGGAGAGGGAGAGAGACATAGAAATATTGATGAGAAAGAACATCGATTGGCCTCCTCCTGCATTCTCCCCACTGGGGATGGAGCCCACAACCTGGGCACGGTGCCCTGATCAGGAATCGAGCTGGCAACCTCTTGGTGCATGGGTCGACGCTCAACCACTGAGCCACACCAGCTAGGCTTTATGATTCTTTTTTAAAGTTCACTCTCTTTGGTAAAGTACTCCTTTTGTTCATTGATGTAATTTCTGAGTTCATTAAACTGCCTGTTTGTATCTCATTGAGTTTTTCAGAACTGCAGTCTTGAATATTTCAAACTTTATTTTCTAGACATTAAAAATTTTTTCTTCTCAGCTGCCTCATTATCTTGGTTATTTATGGTATTTGATGGATTTTTTTTTCTTTGCCTAGGCATCTATGGAAATGAAATCTGCGTTTATTTATTTATTTTTTAGTGCTAAGAGTGGCATTCTTGCCCTGGCCGATTTGGTTCAGTGGTTAGAGCGTCAGCCTGTGGTCCCGCTAAGGGCACGTACTTCGGTTGCAGTTTGTCCCCGGCCCTGGTTGGGTCATGCGGGTGGCAACCACTCGATGTGTCCCTTTCACATCGATGTTTTTCTCTCTCTATCTCTCTTCCTCTCTTTCCCTCCCACTCTTTCTGAACAAAAAATGGAAAAATGTACTTGGGTGAGGATAAAAATAAGAGTGGCATTCTTTATTTTGTAGGTTGCTAAGAAGCCTTTCTTTTTTTCAGTAGGTGGCACTAAAGCACAAGTTTTTTAGTTTTTTTCTTGCTCTGCTCGGGATTGGGGATCTCCCTGGGTTGTGGAAAGTGCCCTGTATTGCCTGGAGGTGGATGTCTTCTCTGTGACCAGGTTTCCTCTGGCTCAGGGCACTACCTCTCTGGGGCATGTGGTGGGCAGTGGAGTTTTGAGCCCGTGAAACACCAGTGCTTTGTCTGTAGCAGCTCTGTGGGCAGTGCAGCTTCCACGGGTGGGGGTCAAGTTGTTGACTAGGTGAGGGGCTGGGGCATTTGTGGCTTCGTTCTTCTTCCTGTAATGGTGACTGCCAGACCACAGCTGCCTCACCTCTGTATCTGCACCCATGGCACTGGGATTAGCTGCAGCATGCTCCTGCTGCTCAGGGAAAAATGCTTCTGCCTCTCCAGAGCGCTCTGTAGCCCAACACTCACTGCTGCAGCTGCTTCAGGGCCTGCTGCTAGCTCTGGGAGGGTAAAGGGAGGCAGGCAGGCTCTGTGACTGGGTTTTTTGCCTGGAAGTGGCTGCTGCCAGACAGCCACAGTAGCATCTCTGCCCTCAGACTCTGCCCTGGTTACTGGGTTCAGCTGCAGGGCTTACTGACCACTCAAGCAGGAAAGCTCACTGTATCTACAGGGGTGGGCAAAGTAGGTTTACTTTTATAATGCAAGTAGAGAATCCAATAAGAATAAACTGTATCTTGCTTACTCACTACTGTAAACCTACTTTTGCTCAGACCTGTATTTGCTTCTCTGGGCTGGAGGGAGTGCAGGTGGCATCCTGATTCCTCCCTTCTGTCCCAGACCTGCAGTGACTCCTGGCTGCTTCCGTGGCACCCGTTTCAGCTCTTCTCCCTTCCCTCCCCAGACTGGCCCACCTTCTGTTATTTCAATGCGAGGATCTCTCAGATGTGTGTGTGTGTTGAGCAGGGAATCCTTTGTTGAATTATCACTGTTCAAATTCTTGTAATGTCAAGGGGAGAGACCAGGGGAACTTCTCATGCTCCCATGTCTTCGGCCTCACCCCACCCTTGAGTTTCTTTAAAATATTGCTCTGCTGTTGTTTGGTTTTATATATTTCCATTGAGAAATCTAATTACCATTCTGACTTCCTACTCTTTGTAAATGACTCTATCTTATTACCTGGAAAAATGAGGAATTTTTAAAATCCTTTTAAGTTTAATGGTTTTACTAGGCTGTGTCTTCAGATTACCCATTCTGCATCAATTTTTATTGTACGGCCTTTCAACATGAAGATTCAAGTTTTCTTTTATTTTGGGATAATTTCTTATAGTTTACTTTAGTTTTTCAAAATGTTTTATGTATTTGTTTTCTTTTTAGGGACTTCCTTTGTATGTATGTGGGATCTTTTCCTTCTGTACAAACACTTCTTCTCTTATCCCTTTTAATTCTTTATTTTATTTTCATCCTCTTTGCTGTTTTCATTACTTTTTCAGTACTTTTTATAAATTGTTTAGTAGAATCTAATCTTTCTTGGCCACCTTGTAACTTAGTATTCATTTCTGAGATGTTTTAGTGTTCTTCAGATTATTTTGTAGTTTTGATCAGCTCTCATTTCATATCTTTTTTTGCCACTGTGTCTTGAGTTTTTTGGATGGTTTGCTAGGAAGACTCATAGGACGAGCATATAGTTGTATTCATGGCAAAGATTTGTTACAGAAAAAGGGTAACAAAATTGGCAAAGGAAAAGAGAAACCAGGCACACGTTTCTCAGATCCTTTCCTGGTGGAGTCTCATAGGATGTGGTTATTCCTCTATCAATCGTTGTGTTAGTACATGTAGAATGTTATCTACCAGGAAAACTCCTTAGAGACTCTGTGCTCAGGTGTTTTATTAGAGGATGTTTATGTAGATAACCTCTGCTTAGCATGTACCAAAATGCCATACTCCCAGAACAAAAACTGGTGTTCAGCATAAGCCATATTGTTAGGCGCAATGAGCCACCCTACTCAGTCCTGGTGGCAGGAACTCTCTTGAAATACAAGTTCCCGGAAGCCAGCCGAGGACCAACACTGCAAGCAGGGCTTTTCAAGGACAGCAGTTCAGTCCTGCTGACTCTCTTCTGCAGCACCTACCTTGCCAACCACTTACTCATCCTACTGGGAAGAGTTGTTTGGGATCTAAAATAGGTCAGCAGTGTCATATCTAATATAATCAATGAAGTTTCTTTACAGCAAAACTCTGACAATCAGAAGTGAGGAAAATAAATAGAATCAGTCTCAGAAAATTATACTTAAAAAAGATATTTTAATCTTTAAAACATTTTAAATTAAGGTAATCAAAATGCCAATGTGTTGGAGTAAATCACATTTTCTTCATTAATTTTTGTTAATAGGCAGAGAAAATGAATTATACAAATAAATTATATAATGAATTCATGTAAAAGAACTATATATTCACTCTTTTCTTTTAGCCTAAGAAAGCTGTCAAGATCAAGCCGCGCCCCCCCGTCGCTCCTCGATCTTCCAGCAGCTGCACGGCGCCTGCGCGGCACACCCCGCTGCGCGTCCTGCCCCACATCGGGGCCCGGCTGCCTGCGCCCGGGCGCGCGCCCCTGCCTGGAGCACCCGGCCGCGCAGTTTCAAGTCTGACAACTCTGCCCGCTGCTGGTAGACCCATGTCGTCTTTAATTAGCGATTTTCTTAAGGAAGATGATAACTGGGAGAGTAACCCGCGATCTCATTCCAATGGTAGCACCCAACGACCACCTCAGATAACCCATGTGGAGTTGGAAGACGACAGAGAGTTTGCTGCTTCAACCCACCCTCTTGGATCACCCCTGCCTAGGCGGACAAAGCACTGTTCAGGGAATTTGCCACCTAATAATGAGGATGGCACTGTTTTATTCCCAACTTCTGAAGAGTGTGTAACTGAAAAATCACTTCTACCTGAAGTGGGTTCATTTTCTTTGTTTACAGAAGGAAATGTCGAAGCACAGAGCAGTGGCTTAGACGGCACAGGGAAGGTAAATCCTGAATTCCTACTTACTAATGGCGAGAAAGGGTTGAAAGCTACAGAGCAGCATCTTAAACATGTTGCAAGAGTGTTGAATGGTGAGTCAGTGGAGACTGCAGTTCTCAACAACCGGGAAGTCAGTCCTCACAAGAATAGACTCCTGTCACCTCTTCACTGTTCTACACCAGTGTCGCTCCATCATCCCCTGGTGAAGCCACAGAGGCAATCCAAATGTTTCGAGTCTGGGAATGTCCAGTCTTCTGCTTCACAAAATGTGCTCCGGCCATTGGATGTTCGGAATGTAACTGATTCTTCTTCCTCTAGGACTACTCGCGTCCGAGCTGTCAAAGTTGATTCACCTGGGAAAAGATCCGATATTATTTCTAAAGTTGAGGCTCGGGGTATCACAGAAATGGCTAACAAGGCTTCCAAAGAGCCTGTTGGTTGTGTGAATAATATAGGTTTTCTTGCTTCGCTGGCCCGGAGCACAAGCAGAGACGGGTTACAGAGCACACGTGGGGTAGGTAGGCTGCGGACCTCTGGAGTGGGGCTGTCTGCAAACCTCCAGCATTTTCAGGAAGAATGCATTAGGAAAACCTCTCCCCAGTTAGAATCTACAGATTTTTTTCTAGTAAGTATTTGCCTTTCAATATGTTCTAGTAGTTATCCTTGTAATGATTTAATATATTTAAAGCTTGTTTTTTGTTTACATAAATAAGGAGGCCTGAGGTTGACTTCTTTTAAAAGTTTCTTTATCTAGTTTGTAGAAAATCTTTTTGATAGGGGGATTTTAAGTAATAGTGTAGTCCTAAATTGAGAAATGTAACTTGAAAATAATTTTGTGTAAACAGCTTATCACAGTTGTCCCCCTCTTATCTGTGGGGGATATGTTTCAATATGTGCAGTGGATGTTTGGAACCATGATAATACAGAATTCTATATATACTATGTTTTTTCTATACATATATACTTGCGATAAAGTTTAATTTATAAATTAGGCACAGTAAGACATTAACAACAATAACTAATAATGAAACAGAACAAGTATAACAATATACTGTAATAAAAGTTATGTGAATGTGGTTTCTCTCTCTCTCAAAATATCTTACTGTATTGGACTCACCCTTCCTGTGCTAATGTGAGATGGTACAATGCCTACATGAGATCAAGTGAGTGTGGATGCTCTGGACAAAATGATGACTCATGTTGTGGGCAGGATGAAGTGAGATTTCTGCTACTGAGAACCGCATGCAATTTAAAATTTATGAATTGTTTATTTCGGGAATTTCCCATTTAATATTTCTGGACCACAGTTACATTGGGTAACTGAAACTACGGAAAGCAAAACCAAGAATAAGGGGGGGGGGGATACTGTATTTTCAAATGCTATTTTTATTAATGTTTTCCCAAATGAGAACTTTTATTTAAGCCATTTAATTACAGGATTTTAAACATAAGTAATAAATACAACATTGCTGTATGTGAGAATCAGGTTCCAAGTTAATTTAATTAAAATTAGATTAGGTAATTTTCAAAGAAATTCCAATGCATTTTTGTAATAAAGTATAAGTATTCTATGTTTGGTGATCTTTTCCCCATTAACTCACCTCCATAGATGTTTTGTGTTTTAATTGTAGTCTGCCCGTGGTATTGGAATGAGTGGAAATAATGCAGCAGCAGGTAAAAGAGTAGGTAAGCTACAGATAATTTTAAAGACAATATAAGACTAATAATCATATCATTATGCATTTTGTTGAGTCTCAAAAAGAAATGAGAAGAACATTCTCTGTAGTATGTACAGAGTAAACTCTCCCTAAACTTTTTATCCTTAGGAAAATGATTATGAAAACTGACTGTAGGACATATTTGATAAAACTAGTCCGGCTGGTGTGGCTCAGTGGTTGAGCATCGACCCATGCACCAAGAGGTCGCTGGTTCGATTTCCGGTCAAGACACATGCCCAGGTTGTGGGCCTGATCCCCAGTGGGGGACACGCAGGAGGTTGCCAGTCGATGTTCTCTCTCATTGATGTTTCTATCTCTCCCTCTCACTTCTTCTCTCTCTCAAATCAATAAAGGAAAAAAATTTTTTGAAGAATAAAACTAAAATGACATTTAGATCTCTGTTGTCTGAAAAGATAAGATGAATGAAAAATTAACATGTAGTTCCCAGTGCTCCCAGTCTGGCCACTCTAGAGCCATGCTGGGCTGCTAGACGGGTTTTGGCAAGTACCCTAGAAAATTGTTTCTTAACATCATGATCCAGTATCAAGGATGGTAGTTAGGCCCTGGCCACTGCGGGTCAGTGATTAGAGTTTGGCCCGTGCACCAAAGGGTTGTGGGGACCCTGGTTTGATTCCCGGTCAAGGACTCGTACCTGGGTTGCAGGTCTCTTTCACGTTGATGTTTCTCTCTCTCCCCCTCCCTCCCTTCCTTCCACTCTCTAAAAATCAGTGGAAAAAGTATATTCGGGTGAGGACTAACAACAACAACAAAAAGGATGATAGTAAGAGTTCCTTTTGATGAACTGGTTATTTCTGGATAAAAGAAAAGCCCCATTTCTAGGATCAGCCCTCTCCAAGGAATAGTAGCAGATCTGACTGTAACATTAGCACTCCCTTATGCCAGTAACACTTTATTATTTCCTCATCCGAGGACATTTTTCCATTTTTTGTACAGACAGAGTGGGAGGGAGAGAGAGGAAGAGAGAGAGAGGGAAACATCGATGTGAAAGGGACACATGGAGTGGCTGCCACCCGCACGACCAACTTGGGCCGGGGACAAACTGCAACGGAGGTACGTGCCCTTAGCGGGAACCAAACCCGGTCTCTCTGGACCACTGAGCCAAACTGGCCAGGGCTATTCACTTATTTTTTTATAATTTTTTTATTGTAAAATACACATGACAAAATTTACTGTTGTAATCATTTTAAATGTATAACTCAGCGGCATTAAGCACACTCACAGTGCTGGGCAACCACTGCCACCATCCCCCTCAGAACTCTTTTCATCCTGAAAAACTGAAACACTAGACTCATTAAACACTATCTCCTCATTTTCCCCCTTACCCAGCCCTGGAAACCCCCTTTGTACTTTATACTTTTAACTACTGTAACTACCTCATTGTAAGTGAAATCATACAGTAGTTTTCATTTTGTATCTGGCTTACTTCACTTAGCATAATGTCAAGGTTCATCTGTGTTGAAGCGTGTGTCAGAATCTCCATACTTTTTAAGGCTGAATAATTTTCCATTGGGTGTATATAAAACGTTTTGCTTATCTGTGCATCTGTGGATGGACACGTGTTGCTTTCACATTTTAGCTACTGTGAATAATGCTGCTATGAACATGTGTATACAAATATCCTTTTGAGGCCCTGCTTTCAATTCCTTTGAGCATATACATAGAAATGGAATTGCTGGATCTTGTGGTAATTCTATATTTAATTTTTTGAGGAACCGCCAAACTGTTTTCTTTCTTTTTTATAAGTACTTATTTTATTCTTAAATTATAGCTAACGTACAATATTATATTAGTTTCAGGTATACAACATAGTGATTAGACATTTATATAAATTAGGAAGTGACCACCCTGATTAATCTAGTACCCATCTTACACCATAAATAGTTATTACAATATTATTGACTATATTCCCTTTTCTATACTTTACAACCCTGTAACCATTTTGTAACTACCAATTTGTACTTCTTTTAAATTATTTAAAAAAACTTTTATTTTTAAATTACAGTTTTCATCTAGTATTATTAGTTTCAGGTGTACAACATAGTGGTTAGACAGTCAAATTCTTTACATAGGGGTTCCCTGATATTTCAAGTACCCACTTGGTCCCATACATAGTTATTACAATATTATTGACCCTATTCCCTGTGCTGTAATTTAAACCCAGTGACTATTCTATAACTACCAATTTGAACTTCTTCTTCTTTTTTTTTAATCCTCACCTGAGGACATTCTTATTGATTTTACAGAGAGGGGAAGGGAGACAGAGAGAGAGAAAAAGAAAAGAAAACAAAACATTGATTGGTTGCCTCCCATATGTGCCCCAACCAGTGATCGAACTCACAACCTAGGTAGTATCCTGACTGGGAATCGAACCTGCAAACTTTTGGTGTATGGGATGATGCTCCAACCATCTGAGTCACACTGGCTAGGGCCCATTTTATACTTCTTAATCCCTTCACCTTTTTACCCAACCCCTCAATTTCACTATTCCCTTGGCAACCATCACTATCAATCTGTTCTTTGTATCTATGAGTCTGTTTCTATTTTGCTTGTTCATTTATTTTGTTCTTTTTAAAAACATGTTTTTCCTTTATTGATCTTAGAGAGGAAATGAGAGGGAAAGAGAGATAGAAACATCGATGAGAGAGAACATCGACTGGCTGCCTCCTGCCTGTTCCCCACTGGGGACCGGGCCCACTACCTGGGTTTGTGCCCTGACTGGGAACTGAACCAGTGACCTCCTGGTACATGGGTTGACACTCAACCACTGAGCCACACCGGTCAAACCATTTATTTTGTTCCTTAGATTCTACTATAAGTGAAATCATACAGTATTTGTCTTTCTCTGTCTGACTTACTGTTAGCATCCATGCTGTTGTAAAAGGTTAATAGCAGATACTATACCAATTTTGCATCCCAGGAATAAGTCCCTCTTGATCATGGTGTATGATCTTTTTCATGTATTGGTGAATTGGCTTGCTAATTTGTTGAACATTTTTGCAGCTACATTAATTGGGTCTATTGTTGCATATATATATACATATATACACATATGTGTATATATATTTTGTTTGTTTTATTTTTGTAGTATATTTATCTGCTGTTGGAATCAGGATAATGCTGGCCTTGTGAAATGAGCTTAGGAGTCTGCCTTTATCCTGTATTTTTTTTCTTGGAATAGTTTGAGAAGGATAGGTGTTAGTTCTTTGAATGTTTGGTAAAATTCACCTGTGAAGTATGCAGTCCCAGATTTTTGTTTGTTGAGAGTTTTTTTGATTACTGCTTCAATTTCATTGGTCAGTTCAGATTTTCTTACTTCTCTTGATTCAGTCTTGGAAACTTGTTTGTTTTAGTAATTTATCAATTTTTTCCAGATTTTTCAATTTGTTGGCATATAATTATTTGTAGTATTGTCTCATAATCTTTTGTATTTCTGTGGTGTCAGTTGTTACTTCTCCTTTCTCATTTTGGATTTATTTATTTGGGTCCTCTCTCTTTTTTTCTTGATGAGTCTGGTTAAAGGTTTATCAATCTTGTTTATCTTTTCAAAGAATCAGTTCTTGGTTTCATTGATTTATTTTTTTAAATTCTATTTTATTTATTTCCACTCTGATCTTAATTATTACCTTCCTCCTATTTACTTTGGGCTTTGTTCTTTTTGCAGTTCCTTTACGTGAAAAATTATATTGTTAATTTGAGGTTTTTCTGTTTCTTGAGGTAGGCCTATATTGCTATGCTTCTCTTAGAACTGCTTGAACTGCTTTTGCTGTGTCACATAGATTTTTGGTTGTTGTGTTTTTATTTTGATTTTTCTGAAGGTATCTTTTGATTCTTTCTTGATCTCTTTGTTAACCCATTGGTTGTTTTGTAACATGTTGTTTAGCCCCCATGTGTTTGTGTGTGTTTCAGTGTTTTCATGTAATTGATTTCTAGTTTCATACTACTGTGGTCAGAGATGATACTTAAATTGATATTTTTTTGTTGCCTAATATGTGGTTTATTCTTGAAAATGTTCCATTTGCACTTAAAAAAATGTATATACTGCAGTTTTAGGGTATAATGCTCTGAATATATCCATTAAATCCATCTGGTCTAATGTGTCATTTAAGGCTGCTGTTTTCTTGTTGATTTTTCACCCTTGGAAATCCCCTACTGTGACTGTATTACTATTGCTCTCTCCCTTTCCGTCTATCAATATTTGCTTTGTATGTTTAGGGGTTCATATTTGAGGTGCATTATTGTTTACAAGAATTATGTCCTCTTATTGGGTTGATCTCTTTATCTTTTTGTAACTACCTTCTTTGTCTTGTTATAGCCTTTGTTTTAAAGTCTATTTTGTCTGATATAAATATTGCTACCCTAATTTTATTTTATTTCCTGTTTACATGAAATATTTTTTCATCCCTTTACTATCCGTCTGTGTGTCTTTTGTTCTGAAGTGGGTCTCTTGTAGAAACATATATGAGTCTTGTTTTCTTATCCATTCAGTTACCCTATGAGTTTTGATTGGAGTATTTAATCCATTTACACTTAAAGTGATCATTGATAGGTATGTATTTATTGCCATTTTATTTTTCATAATTATGTTTCTTTCCTCTTTTTCTTTTTCTCCTTACAGAAGTCTTTCTTTTTTCTTGGTAGTATTTCTTTAATTTAATTTATTGGGTGCCACTGGTTCACAAAATCATATGGATTTCAAGTGTACAACTGAACAAAACATCATCTGCATACTGCATCGTGCATCCATCACCCAAAACAAAGTCTTTCTGTCCCCGTGCCCCTCTGCCCCTTTGCCCACCACCACCTACCATCCAATATCTAACCCCTTTACCTCTGGCGATCACAACACTGTTGTCTGTATCTATGTGTGTGAGATATATATATATATATATATTTATTTATTTATTTATTTATTTATTTTTTGCTTAATCCTTTCACCTTCTTTTATCC